GTTAGCTTATCAAAAAAAAAAAAAAAAAACAGTACCTCACTTAATTTGAACGCTCATGCACTGAAATGATTCTATAAGGTTGGTAAAAAGAAGCTTCAAGAGTCTACTTAGGAGAGTTTCAACTATAAAATTTGTCACATATAATTTGATTCTCAAGGGCTGATCAAACTGAAATCTGTTCATGGATCAGGGTATTGGTCACTAAATTTAGACAAGTTTTGGGAAGATAGATTAAGTAAAACAAGCTAAAGAAGATGGTGCTCGTCAATGATGAAAGTGTCAAGATACTATGGGATGCATGGAACGTCAGAGTACTAATTATTCTTAGCCTCGTGCTGCAGTCTTTCTTAATTCTATTTGCACCATTTAGGAAACAAATGGGGGGAAATTCTTTTTTCACGAGTTCACTATGGATGGCATATTTGCTTGCAAATTGGATTCCTGGATTTACGCTGGGACTCATCCTCCGTGCTGAGAGTAGTGATATCATGGCCCTATGGGCACCCTTTCTTTTGTTACATCTTGGTGGACCGGACACCATTACTTCCTTCTCTCTGGAGGATAATGAGTTCTGGATCAGGCACTTGCTTGAGCTCATGATGCTGCTTTGTGTCTCTGTCTTTGTTATCCTTCAGTCAATCAGACAAAACAAGCTTTTGCTCCCAACTCTCCTGGTGTTCATTGTAGGCGTAATCAAATATGCAGAGCGGAACATTGCTTTGGGTCGTGCAAGCTTTGACCATTATGGAGATAAGATTCCAAATGTTTCCTTTCTAGAAGAAACTGCAGCTACTGAATCTGAGACCGAGAGCCACTATCCTGGAATCATGTTACGAAGGGAATTGGGACCTTATGGAACTATCAAGAATCTACTTGTTGGGCCTCTTCTATCTCCACATCGGCGCAACTTGAGCAGAAGAGCCTTTCTTCAAAGACAGTCAGGAGACGTCCTCAATATGATGGAGATTGAGCTAAGCCTCTTGTATGAAACTCTTTACACAAAGTTGCCCGTGGTTCATTGTAAGATTGGATATGTTTTCCGCGTCATTACTTTGGGTTGCACTTTCGGAGCCTTGATGTCATTCATGTCAATTACAAAGTACTACAAGTTGCGGAAATTTGATGTCTGGGTAACCTATAGTTTGTTGATTTCGGCCATAGCTTTGGAGTTCATATCCATCGGACTACTTTTTTCTTCAGATTTTAATTTACTGGATTACTACTATTGGCAAGGTAATCTGGAGATCAAATTTCTGTACTGGAAAGTGGAGTTTGATAATATGAGTACTGGAGTCAAGAACCGACGCAGGTGGTCCAAAAAAATCTGCCAGTACAACCTTATAACCAATCATTTTGGTGACTCTCCAAGTTGGTTGAACAAATTGGCTAATTTTCTTTCCACCAGGATTAGTAATTTGAAGGTTCGAACTTTACAAGTTCAGGAATGGAGCTTCATTTTTGATGAACTGACAAGGAAAGCTCAAGCAGCGGAGACGGTTGAAGCGGGCAAACGACTTTGTCTACAAAGAGGTGATGGAATTCTTGGCGATTATGTGAATCTCATCTGGAGCGTCAAGGAGTTAGATTACACGGAAAGCCTTCTAACATGGCACATAGCCACTGAAATCTGCTGCCGAGTAGACCAGAATACTGCATCTGACAATACGAATTATAGAGCAATATCTAAATTACTCTCTGATTATATGTTCTACCTTCTAGCGAGGCAGCCCGCCATGATGGCCACCGTGTCCATTGATCGGAAAGAGGTGTGCAAACTAGCATATCACGATATAAATGATTTCTTCACTGAACGGCCCGATTTGGATGTTCAAAGTCTCGCCGAAATTATGTTTAAGAAAGAAATCCCAACGAGCTACGTCTTGAAAGTTAGTGGTTATGAAAGAACATCCGTTATACGTGGTGCACGTATGCTTGCCCATCAGCTGAGGGATCAGAACAGCGGCTTTCCGTGGGAGTTAATGAGCAAAGTTTGGGTTGAATTGATGTGCTATGCTGCTATTAATTGTAGGCCAAATGTGCATGCACATCAACCAAGTAAAGGTGGACAGCTCCTGACTTTCGTTTGGTTGTTGATGAATCACTTGGGCCTTGGAACTCAATTTTCAACTGAACAACTTTCACAGGCGAGAGGGACTGAACTCGGGCAAGACCAGCTATAACAGAAGGATTGAATCTTCTGAAGATAGATTAATTCAGGTGTGCCTTATCTATTCGCCTTTCTTAAATGTGTACTTAATAACGCTTTTTATGTTTTGAAAACAAATGAATCTTATTACGGTTTTTCTGTGTGTTTTGTGTGTTCGTGAGTTCCAAAATTTAGTTCTGTAATTGTGTGTTTTGAGTACTGCTTGGACCCACTTAATAATATTTCTTTTGCATATCAAAAAATTAACATGTGCATCTTTGATTTGGTGTTTAATATTTGAAGGAAATCTTATCATGTAATTCTTATTTCAAGGAGCCATGTTTTGTGCTTAATAGTAGCGGTATAAAATTTTGCGAAGGAAATTTTTTTTCTTAAAAAGAAACTGACCGAAATTATAATTGATAAGTTGAATTTGACCAAGTTTTAATTTTTTTTAGTTTGGGTTTGATTATAACCAAATGAGGTGAGTTTTGGTTATTGAGGTCCAAAACCAAGGACTCGGTACTACGCGGAGTGTAATCAAATTTTTTTTTACCTCCTTTTTTAATTTAATGATTTTTAGGTCTTCCAACCCTTTCTCAAATTTTTGTGCCTTTTTTTAATATTATTTTTTACATTTAATGCTTTATGAAAATTTTTAAACCTTCCCCTCCTATTCCCGCCCGAGTCCACTCCAAATATTAGTTAAATTTAAATTTTTATGTTTAATCCGAAAAAACAAAAAATTTAAGCTTTGTTTATTATGGTTGTAATTTTAGAATTTTCGTTTTGACTTTTATAAATTTCACATCCCAAAACAAAAAACTTATTTATTTTCACAAGTTTTTTCAACATATTATTAATTATAATTATTAGAGAAATAAGAACAAAAATAATTGTAATATTATTAAATAAACAAATATTTGTACTTGTCAATATTTAAATTTGTTTTAAACAAATTTTAAACTTTTATTTTTAATTTTAGTTTTCATTAATTGTAAAATTTATAAAAACTTAAAACAAAAAAATTAAAATTATAACCATAGTAAATAAAGTCTTAATTGCTCAATAATTTTATTCTTTGTAGTAGCCAAAACCAAACTTTACCCACCCTAGTGCGCAGACCAAAAAGTCAATATTTTCAGGAGAGTGGGTCTCCTCATTTGTCTTTCTTAAATATATACTTAAAGCTTCTTATTATGTTTTAGAAACGTGTCTTTGATTTAGGTATGCAAGAAATTGAAAAAAGAACTCTGTTTTACAATTTGAATTGTATTAAATTATTTATTTTAATAAATTAAATATTATTAAAAAGATATAAAGGTTACTTTAAATCCATTTTACATCAACACTAAATCTCAAAATAAGGGCTTAAAAAGGCTATATTTTAACATTGCACCACCCTGTAGTATTCAATTACTTTAGCACATTCTAAGAGATTACTTGACCATTCATGTAAAGCAAATGTAAATCACTTTGCCTTTCCTTTGCACCATAGAAATGTTTTAATTTTATTGTATCGAACCATAAAATAAGGGTCGTTAGATGTAGGGAGAGCCCATAATATTAGTAGGTCCAACTCATATTTTAGAGGTCCAACTATCTTTCAATAGTTAGTGTTGTGTAATCCAATATAGTTCAGATTATATAACACGTTTTTCACTTTAGAAAGACAGAATAAAGGTTTTTTGCTTTCTAAATTAATATTAATAGTGTATGTAAAATGACTTATATGTAAGTGTTTACAAAAAAAATATTATAAGGTATAGAATATTTACAAAAAAAAAGAGTATAAATATGATTTGAATAGTGTGAATAGTTGATTGTTCATTATTGTTCCCATATATATATATATATATATATTTTTTTTTTTTTTTTGGGTTTAGTGGTTAAGATCTCTAAGTCAATTTGCACACGCTTAGGGACTAATCCTTCTTTGGTCCAATCAAAGGCAAATCATCTACTTTGGGGCTAGAGAGTTCAATAAAGAATTACCACCCCCTTGGCCTCACCAAAGAGTCGAACCTGATCAATAAGGAGGGGAGTAAATTTCATTACCAACTAATTCACAACTCATTGGATATTATGTTCATATCTTAACACCCTTCAAACTCAAAGTGATTGTAATGAAACCAACTTGAGTTTAAGAAGAAGAGCACCAAAAGCATCCAATAGCAAAGCCAATGAATAGTTTCTTGTGCAACATAATGACGAATAAAGTGACAATCAACATCATTATGTTTCATGTGTTCAAGAAAGATATCATTATAAGCAATTTGCATAACACTATCTATATCAATCTAGAATTGGCTTGATTCCGATTGTGATTGACCAATACATGAAAGATTAGTAGTGTATATTATCGAGAATAATATTAATTAAAAATATTAATTAAAATAAATATTAACTAGAGAAATAATCTATTTATACATAAATTTTAATTATTTATCTCTTTACTTGTCACGCCCCATAACTCAAATCCGAGGGCGTAACAGACGCCGTACACTGGTGAGACGAGTCCCACAAGTGCACAAGGCTCGGATCTTACTCAACAAATTTGTCTTACAAGAGCATGGTATATACCTAAAATCCATATCAATTTCAAGTGGCTAGCCTTCTACCTCTCACTCCCCTTGATTTCCGTGTCTCGACTCACACTACCTGAAATGGTGGACGAGAAAAACGAGGTGAGATAACTCAGTAAGTAAAATATAAGTAGCCCGTAATTAAACTCATAGCATGCCAAGAAGTGTAATCACGAAAAACGGATACAGTACGGGAACGAAATAGACGTCTCCTCTATAGGTCATGGCCAGTGTTATAAACCTCCCACTGGCAGGCTATACTATTTGCTGGTGTATAACCCCCACTAGCAGGGTCATTCGAACAAACCGATTCTATCAATAACATGTCGACATGTGCTAGTGTTTATAAACCCCCACTAGCAGGGTCACTAATAACATGACCACATCGGAAACAAACCAGGCAGAAGTTAACAGAAAAACCATAATTCACCAATCACTTTCAGATCATCAGGACAATCAATTAAATTTCAAGTAGGCATGCTCAATTTAATGAAAAGCATAAAAATTTCACTTCAAATCAGTCATACTTACTTTTGTATAAAACAGGTTTAGTCCCGCCACCATTTCAAAACCATCAAAAATTTGCTTTTAAAAGCTTTATCTTAAATCCAAGGCATTACCATAAGTTACTTACCTCACTCGCATAAAACCGGGAACTCGATCCCAAAGCTCTAAGCCACACAGCACCTACTATTCCAGATAAATATGTTCTAAGGTCAGATTGTGCATATATATATATATATGTACACAACACACACACATATTTTCCCAATCTCCACCCAATAAACTACTGGAATTACATTTTTACTCTAGTATTCAGTCATGAGATTCAATTCCAGAAATCCCGAGTCTTTATACACAATTTAAAATAAAACTCTGCTTTAAATCTTAATCATACGGATACCATTTCTCTCCAAATTTTAAACAATCTTCAGTGAACATTTTAGCCAAGTTCACTACGAAACACCTCTACCTAATTTCCTTAAATCCCACGGACACAAAAATGGAAAACAAGGCTTTCATTTCAATTATTGATTTAGTTATACACAACACACACCTATATATTTAGCTTCTAATTCCCACAGACAGAAAAATGGGGAACATGGCTTGACAAAACCGCAACTCACACACGGATTTTTTTTATATAGAACCCCACGGCAGCAAATCAAGCAATTTCCTACCTAAACCAAGCTTAAAACACGTTTTATGCTACCCACAATTATCCCATAATTTCGGCAAGATCTCGGACAACCCAGAGCAACTAAATGGACAACAATTAATTAATAAATTCGGACTTAAAAGGGTTGTCCATACCATAATTTTCCAGCAGTAGAAACCGGGCTTGGCTGGTGAGGAAGTCGACGGGGAAAAATTTGGAGGAACACACGGGCTACCACAAATTCAAGAACCAAAACAGAAATTAGAGTAACCCAAGCCAAATCAAGGCTAAAAAGATGATTTCTTAGCTATTTCTTACAAAAACCGGACTCCCAACCCACCCAGCAGCAACCCGCGACAGAGGAAGAAGAAGCAACCACAGATCTGAATTTTCTAGCTTCAGAGGGCGGGTCCTAAATCCTAAGGTTAAATGCTAGATTTGGTCCCTCAACTATAGTGGTTTGCACATTTTTGGTCCTTGAACAATTTTTTGCACTTTTTTGATCCCTCAACTATACGAAATGC